AGTGTGTTTACGCTTATTTAATGTTGAAAGTCGAATCAATCCGTAAACAGTCACTCTTGTTTAAATATATAATGTGGTTTCAACATGTTTTACTCTGTTTTAACCTTTGTTACTATGTTTATAGCTGGTTTACGCGTTTTAACGTAGTTGTGTTACTCTTTTTTTAGCTTTATATATTACTATTATTTGGGCTGATGATGCAGCAAGTAAGAATCAGTCTGCTTTTAAAAATCTTTGCTACTCTAAGTTAAAGGAGACATTAAAAACATAGTAAAAGATAGTGAAAAGACTAAACATGTATAAAACAACAAGTTAGTAATATGATTAAAAGAAAGTAAGAGATAGTAGACGAGAGCTCAGATCCAACCCCATCACACCAACCATAGGTGATGTAATGACAGGCGCGCTGTGAGTTCAACGTGCATGTGCAGGTGCCATGTCAGACATCAATCCCGTGAAAACATCCCTGAGACAGCCTGAGACAAAAACCTGGCAGAAAACCATGTGGAACAGATGTACATTTGCCATGTCGGACCTTGTGGAACAGATTCAAATGCGTTGAACACCAAGCAGAAGTGGTCAGAAAAGAAACAATCCAACAAGACGAACCAACAACTCAAACAGAAGAGACAAGGAGACAGGCAAGGCAGATCATATCTCAAATCCGAGAAATCCGGAAAACATATATATCTCTCTCTATATATATATATACTATATGGGTATGTAGTCATTGTAATAGGATGTAATAGGGTGACCCCCAACCAATGGATAATGTTTTCCATCTTCCAGCGGTCTTGGGGATGTCTCCCTATGTTAATACACACCCATATACAGCCAGCCCCTAGTAGCGTCCTTGCTCCTAGTAGCGATGGAGGAGCCCCTAGTAGCTTCTTGTTCCTAGTAGCAAGGCCAGGAGCCCCTAGTAGCGTCCATAGCGATGCCAGGAGCCCCTAGTAGCTTCTTGTTCCTAGTAGTAAGGCCAGGAGCCCCTAGTAGCGTCCTTGCTCCTAGTAGCGATGCCAGGAGCCCCTA